CTTGTCTTCCCAGAACAACAATTTTGATAGATGTGTGTGTGTAATGTACAATATTTATTTGCAAGAACTAAAATATTTTATATTAAAAAGATATATTATGGATCAGGATATACAATATTAGAAAAATTTAAAGTTTTTTCCTCAAAAATGTGAGCACACAGACCATTTGTATCATTAGAGGATCTCAGATTTTAACTTCTAAATTTTTATTTTCCAGTGTCAAAGGATATTTACCCATGCCCATGTATTTAAGAGTGCAGAGAGGAACGCCTTTAGGGTACAGATATCCAGGCATGAACAATGGGGAATCAGCTTTACAGGAAGTTCTTTTTCGAATGAAGTATGAGGAAACAGGAGAAGGGAGGAGTTAGCACAAAAATGCAGATCTAGGATAAAGAACTCAATAAAACATATTAATTCATTCAATAGACATTAATAGATGTTTATTTTGTCCCACATTCTTTACTGGGTAGTTGGAGAAGTGAATTAGATATGATTTCTACCATCAAGGAGGTCACTATTTAGTAATGGGTGCTAAATAACATAATAATAATGGGTGCCACTGTTGTGATAAAAGGTGGACATTGTGAAAGTGGACCACCAGAAAGAAAAATAAAGAAGATGATCTATTACAATAGCATCAAAAAGGATAGAACACACAGGAGTAAATACAACCAAAGAGATGTAAGATTTTTATCTGAAAACCGTAAGACAGATGAGAGAAATAGAAGAAACAAATAACTGGAAAGATAACCTGTGTTTATGTTTTAGAAGAATTAAAATTGTTAAAATGTCCTTACTACGCAAAGTGATTACAGATTCAATCCTTATCAAAATTCTAATGGCATTTTTCACAGAAATAGAAAACACAATTATACAATTAGAATATAACCACAGATGATCCCAAATACTCAATACAGTCTTACAAAAAACAAGTTGGAAGCATCACCTTCTTGGATTTCAATTATATTACAGAGGTAAAGTAACCAAAACAGTGTAGTGTTGTCATAAAAACAGATGCATAGACCAGGGAACAGGATAGAGAACACAGAAAAAAGTGCATTCATATATGGTCAATTAATTTTTGACAAAGGCACCACAAATTCACAATGAGGATTAAGCTGAAAAATGAGACTGGACTTACAGACAGAAAATATTTGAAAACCATATATCTGAGAAGAGACTGATATTTAAAATATGTAACCAGTGGGCATGGTGGCACATGCCTGTAATCCCAGCACTTAGAGGGCTGAGGCAGGAGGATGGATCACTTTGAGTTCAAGGCCAGCCTAAACTACACAGTGAGTTCAAGGTCACTCTGAACTACATAGTGAGAACTTGTCTCAAAACAAAACAAAAACAAAACAAAATATAACAGACTCATACAATTCAATGGACAAATAACAATTACCCAACTAAAAAAATGGGCAAAGAATCTGTATATGTACACATTTTCCCAAAGACTTATAAATAAATGGCCAAGAAGTATGAAAAATGTTAAAGATCACTGGTCATCAGAGAAAAACAAATAAAAAATATGAGATTCCCTTCACATGCACCTGTTAGAATGGCTACTATCAAAAAGACAAAAGATAAAATATATTGGTGATGGCAAGTATGGTGGTGACACTTGTAATCCCAGCACTCTGGAGGCTGAAGCAGGATGACAGCATGTTTTAGCCCAGCCTGGGCAAATCAGCAACTTAATGAAGCTGTTTCAAAATTAAAAATTAGATAGATAGATAAATAGATAGATAGAGGTTGATTTGAAGATGCTACTCAGTTCAACGACTGTGGGTTCAATCCCTAGTATTGAAAAAAAAATGTTGGTGAGGATAGGAAGAGGGGAACCTTTGTACATTGTTACTAGGTCGGTAAATTGGTACAGTCATTGTGGAAAATAGTATGACGTTCTTGAAAAAATTAAAATAGAACTACCATATTATCCTTCAGATATGTTCTTCTATACAATGAAATCAATGTCTTGGGTGGTATCTGAGCAGAGAAAGCTGGTCACTTATGGTATCCATAAAGCAGACAGCATGAAGGGAGAAACTAGAAAGGGAGGTAAACCCTTCCAAGTCAGCACCCGCTGATCTGTCTCTTTTAACCAGACCCCAACAACTACATCATATTTAGCTATAAGGATTCCCCATACTCCATTCACCTTTCAAAAGCCCTACCACAGAGCACTCGAGGCTTTGGGGAGACATCCATATTTAAACTATAATAATGAAGCATGATTGAAAAATATGGTATTTATGTATGTATGTATTTTCTTAATTCTTTTTATGTCTCTGTGCTCCCCCTCCATCTTTTGGTCCCCTTCCCATTGTGAATGTTTGAATTAGAAAGTATTATTACATTAAAAAACACATCACCATTATAAATCTCCCTCAAAATACTCTTCTTTATTTTGAGCGCACTTATTTCATTTTATTCTTACCACTTTTGAAAGGAGTTCTGGAAGTCCGCTTTCATGTTTTTGGCTGTGCTGTTATGGCTGCCTCACTGTACTGAACTGATTCAAATATTTTCCTTTCATAGTCATTTTGACTTTGGGGATGAGCCAGACATTGTACAGTGCCAGATACAGTCAATAAGGTAGATGAGGACACACTATGTTTTGTTTGGTTTTCTAGTACTGGAGATTGAACTCAGGACCTTGTGCTTGTGAGGCAGGTAAGGTGCCACTGAACTAAATCCCTAGCCCCACATTATGTTTTTTTGAGCCTGCTTTTCTTTAGATGGTTGGCAGCCGCATTCACCATATTTTTTATTATACGTTGTAGAGACACTCATATATTCACCTTGTAATTTGGTCACACCCCATCGTACACATGTACAACGGAATTTTATTCAAACACAAAAAAGGAAATTCTGTGACAAAATGGATGGACCTGGAGGATATTACACTAAGTAAACTAAGTTAAATACAGAAAAACAAATACTTCTACAGTATTCAAACTTAGAAACAGAAACAGTGGTTGCCAGGGGCTGAGAACTGGGAGAAATAGGGTGATGTTAATGAAAGGGTGCAAGCTTTCTTTTTCCTTTTTGGTGTGTGTGTGGGGGTGGAGCACTAGGCTTTGTGCTTGCTAAGCACACATTCAAGTATGGAGCTACATCCCCTAGGTTTGGGATTAAACTTTCAGTTTTAACACGAGCAAGTTCTGGGGATCTAATACACAGAATGGGTAGCGTTGGAAATATCACAAAAAAAAAAAAAAAGAAAAAGAAACAGAAATTGGACTACTGGAATAATGCAGAACTTTGCCTGAAGAAGTCAGTGAATACTTCATGAACATGACATTTCATTTTTGGATGTCTTGAAAAACTGTATAGGTGTTTTCTGCCTGTGGTTTGGTTATAAATTATTTCAGGAAATTAGAATATGAAATGCATGGGAAACTAATCTGACATATGCTTACATTCTTGACAGTTGCTATCAGCATTCAAGTCCCTGGAGAGGAAGAACATTTCTTTTGTCTTGGTTACTTAGTAATACAGGACTAATAGTCCTGTTCCTGCACTCAGTACTATGTTTATGTTAGAAAGTTCACCCAGGGAGTTAAATATGGTATGGATGTAGCCTGTTCTCAATAAGCATGTATCACACTCCTATTGTCAGGAGCCATTCTACATAATTTTTGGGGAAAATCATTTCATGATTAAAGTATGACTACAGCTGTCTAAGGCCCAGTGTCACCTTGCCCTTGAGCCAGGTATGGCATGCAGAAACAACTCCGTTTTGCCTCTGGTCACACATTGAAGTCTCAATGGTCCCATGATACTGTGATGCTCAAGGACAATGGTATATCAGTGTAAGACAGCCTGGTTCTTTGAGGACTGAGTAGCAATAAAAAAGAGAAAGGTTTTACCTGGGGGGAAGGACAACTTCTTTATTAGTTTGCTCTCTTGTCCCACTACTATTTTAAGAATGTTGTCCTTATTGCCTTCATCAAGGTAAGATCCTCAGCGACCCAAGATCCTCATCAACATAGGAATACCACCTCCCCCTAAGTCACCTGATATTCCCTCCAATTTTTGTGTGCACCTAATAAATAATAGCTGTCTTGGAATGTCTTTGTCTTTGCCCACTTTGAAGCACTGACCTCCCAGACCCTCACGCACTTTGAAATTACACAAGTCTATATTGTCTTTCTCTGTGTTCCCCTTTCTAGGCAGTTGGGAGGACTGATATACCTATCATATACCAGGCTTTATAGTAGTTATCAAGATGATAACCAGGGGCTGGGGATTTAGCTCAGTGGTGCCAGCACCTGCCTCGCAAGTGCAAGGTCCTGAGTTTGATCCCCTGTACCTAGGGGAAAAAAAAAAAGCATGATAACCAAAGTCGAGTGTGGTAGCACGTCTGTAATCCCAGCAGTCAGGAGGCTGAGGCAGGAGGATCACTGTGAGTTTGAAGCCAGCCTAACCTATATAGTGAGATTTTGCCTCAAAAAAAAGGTGACTTCTGAACATAGATCTGAATGACAAGTAGGAGTTGACAAGAGTAAGCATTATGATAGAGGGAATGGCGATTCAATACAGAACCTTATGATATAGTCAGAAAACAAGTTTCCTATGGCGGGGGGTGGCACCAAATAATTGTAGAAGAGATTGACTGTATGAGGCCATGGATGGCATCTATCATGAAATGTCTGAATTTTAGCTAGTGAGGCAATGGTTAGTCACTGAAATTCTGAGTTGAGACCAGAAACAGCAGGTTACAATCTATTAGTGGCTTATATAATCAATGTAAATTGGGAACAGCATTTTAAGAAGATGATTAGAAGAGTAGAAAGTATTAGTGTGCATATTTTAAAGGTAAACAATGTTTTGTGAAATATATATAATTGCTTCAATTATATATATGTAAATATTGTGATGTAAATATTTTTTGGTCTGAGTCATAGCAAAAATTTTTTTGAGAAATACTAAAGGTTCAGTGGTATACCAGTTGATGTATCAGGTTACTCTGGTAGCAATTAACAGAAACCACAGGCTCAAATGGCGATGTACACTGAGGAATTTATTATTTTAATTTAAGTAAGGTTCCTAAGTTTGAGAATTCTATGTACTTTTAGCTTTTGCTATTTTTCAGTGTTATTTTCAGCTTAAGGCCAATTCCCCAGTGGTACTCAGAATGACACACTACCCAGAAGAACAAAACATGGATCCTGAACCCATCAACAGCCAGGGTATGGAAATAGTTCCTGCTTTAGGTCAATCTGGGATGGATGTTTAGGATTCGATCCTCTGTAGGAATTATAATAGCATGTATTAATGTCAGTGTATCATAGAAATACTTCAGGGTCATCTAGTTTGACAAAGTAATGAACTTGGTGGTGAATTTACAGCATTCATACCACAGCAGGCTGTTTGTATCACTTAAAGTTCTAAAAGGTTCATCACCACTAAATTTAGGGGTAGGGATGGTAAGATGAGCCACTTAAGTTTGTGTATGTATCAGGCAGGGAAAAGCAGGAATGGCTGCTTGATAGCATAGACTGCAAGAACCAAAGGTGGTAATGACAGATACGAACAGGAACCAACCAAAATGACTTCTTTCTGAAGCATAAAACTAGAAGCAAGGTACAAGGATGGAGTATGGAACAGATGTATGGTCATGGAAGAGGGTTCTCCTCTGAAATTTAAACTCTTGTTTTATAGGATGTAAGCCACAAAAGATGACCAAGACATTAAGCTAATCAGGTTTCTATTACCACAGCTGCAATGTGGAAAGGGAAATTGGGGGCTGTTGCAACTCAGAATTTCACATTTAGGGAAACAAGGTGGTAGCAATTTGACCTAATTCTACTGAAGATAAATTAAGTGAACTTTTAGCTTTTTTTTTTTTTTTCCTGGGGATTGAACTTGGGACTTTATGCTTGCAAGGCAGGCGGTGGGACCACTGAACTAAAACCCGGGCCCTCTTTTGCTTTTCTAACTGTAGATATTGGGCTAGGGTAAGGGCAGCACTTTTGTCAACCTTGCTGTAAATAACTGGAGTCCCAAATGAAGTACCTTTAAAGTTGCTGAAGCAAAATTCATTGTTTTGGACCTCTGCTGGCTTTGGAATTTACTTAAGTAGTGTTTAGAAGGACTTGAGGGCAGTCCACCAACTGAGGTGAAGTTAGAATTCTCAGCACACTGTTAACAATTTCCCTTGTTATCCTTGAGCCTTTAGTAAATGTTCCAAGATTGTCTTATTTGGCCCAAAATATTAAAGGTGATGTAGTGTCCCATTATTAACTATGTGATGGCAGGAACTGACTTAATGGCAAATATTGATAAATATGGTATCCCAATTACCTAAAATAATGTGGAGAGTAGCAGATACTTAAAAAGTACCTTGGGAACCAATGAGTACCAAAATGAAATATATTTTGGCTGGCTAAGAGGAAATGTAATGGCAGTTCACCCATAATTTACCTGTCCTTAAGATTTACAGATATGGTTTTAATTTCAAGGGAAGTACTTTCTTTAGGCATCAGGGATGATTATCTAGCTGGGGTGCACATTCATGCTAAGACTGGAAGAGTAGTGAATTTTTAGGGAAAAACATTTAATGCAAATATTTTTGAGGGTCTGTGGTGCTCAAACTTTAATGTAAGGCTCTTTCATACTACTTTGAAGGATAAATTAGAGGAAGAGAGAGTAAGCCCTATAGGGATGAGTGTCAGACTAAGGCTGTTGTAGCAAAATAGCACTACAATAGTTGTGTCACTGAAGCTCATGTCTATTAGACCAGTAACCCTTGTACCCTCACTCTTACTAAGGTATAGATTAAGACAAAATTTTTTCTTCCCACTCTACTGGGAATACGGTAACTATCAGGATGTGCTATATTGTGTTCAGGCCACGGGTGACAGCTTTAGGTCTTCTTGTGACTATCACTCTAGTCAGTCCTTAAATCTAAGGGAGTAGTAGCCTGGCTGGACTAAGCCTGGCTTTATTCACTATAATTAGTGCATTGAAAAAGAGCTCCTGGTGTTTTACATGCTCAGCCATTCTGAAACCGGATTTCCCTTTTCTAAGTTCCCACAGAAGCCCATTTTGACAATAAAAACTTTCAGGAAATCCCCAGCAAGTTGAACTTTCTAATGTTCCTCTTACTAAAACCCTCTCCATACCAAGAGGAAGGAGCTTATCCTGAATGCCAGCATCCTTTGTCAGATACCTCCACTTTTTCAGTCAATGTTGTAGGATATCAGAGTTCTTAGGTCCTACTTAAAAATCCATTCAGAGGTTGAGAGCACATGAAGATACGTGATCCAGCCTGGAAATAGAGGAATGGTTGCAATGTCTCCTGAAGTTGCCTTGGATATGGATTAAACAAATTTTATTGGCAGATGTTCATTCTCCCACCCAGCAGGAAGCAATCTTTTTCTAAGAAATCTTAGAGGCTCAGTCCTATGCTGGATGTCAAAATAAAGTCGTGTCAGGGAACAAGTCTGGGATACAAGATACATGCCCCATCTAAATTGGCAAAAAAAAAAAAACCAACTACATTAACCAAACACAACCCTAAGAACCAGAAACATAAACTATAAATTTACTATCCTAGGTAGACTGAGCATTTACATGGTTCTCATTTTTCCAGAACACCTAAGGGAATAAAAAAAAAAAATTTTTACATATATTCATGGTAAGGAATTTTATCTTTTGTGCTGAGAGAGAAGGCCATCTGGCTCCTTAGAGGATTCTGAGCCCGATTATGACTGTCCATTTTACAACTTTAGCATTAGTTCTCAGACATGGCCACTGAAGAAAGCCACAGAGTCCAGTTCCAGTTAAATCCTTGGTGTTTGAGCTGTATGGGAGCTGTGGAGACTTTGTTCTTGGTTCTTTTGGAGGTCTTGCTGAAGCCCCTGCAGCAGCTGGTTTAGGAGTGTAAGGTTGCTGTCTTTACGAGGTAGAGGCAGGGGTGGGAGGCAATTTCCTTTATACTCGATCACTGCCATCTTTGCCCGATCCTGCTCACTCCGATTTGGGATCTGCACCATCCTTGTGTAGCCCCCATTCTGATCTTGGTACCGAGGAGCAAGTACTTTAAACAGCTTTGGGATCAAGTCTTTCTCCTATAAAACAAGATTATTCAGCAGAGAGCAGAGTCAGGAACAGTTGCGGGAGCATTTAACCACTCACAAAGATAGGGTCCAAAGCCACATCGATAGGACCCCCTCCCTCTTTAATCTAGTACAAAGTTAGAAAGAATGATCACTTATAGGCAGATGTGCAGATTCATGTGCACATCGAGTTCAATTATAACACATGATTCTTATTTAACTCACAACATTAGTCCACCAGTAAGTGCCCTAGTTTAAATCTCACAGGGAGCAGAGGGTTCGCTTTGGGACGTGTGTTAGGGGAACTCACCGTGAGCCAGAAGTCAGCCATACGCATGGCTCGTTCGTTGGTGTCTCCCAGTTTTCCATAGTCGATGAGCTGTGAGGTCAAAACAAAACGAATGGATCCAACCAGAGCAAAAAACTTGGGGTTAATCTTTTTCTACAGCCGGACCTCAATCCCTTCATTCCACTAGCAAAGTCTCTGATCCTAGAGACTGGCCTTATCTCTAAACAGTCTTTCACATAAGGTACAAGAGGAGTGGGCTCAGCTTAGAACAAGCGCACCCCCGTTCCCAAATGCAGCCCGTCCCGCCCCCGCAACAGGGCTTTGCAGTCCCTCACCTTCTCCGCGTAGCCCCGCATCTCGTCCAAACGCGCCCATGACGCCTCGATGCGTTCGTGTCGCACCAGTCCGGTGAGCAAGTTTCTCAACAAATGGATACGGGACTCGGGGCCGAGGCCCAGGCGGCGGTATACGCGGCCATGGGAAATGGCGTACGCCACTGACAGCCGCATGTTCCCAGAGTCCTCCCGCCCCTTGGAGGCCGGAAGTGGAAACTCTTCAGGCAAGACCAGGCGGAGGCGATTTCGTGGGACGCATGCGTCGTAGTTCTGTGCGTGGTGGACGTGTTTGCGCATGAGTATGAGAGCCTGCCTTGTTGGCAGTCTGAGGAGGGCGGAGAAAGGGTGTTGACCTTTTCTAAAGGCGGTGAGCTGGGAGCTTTCCAGAGCCGCTTGCGTTCCTAAGCAGGCCAGGGAACTTGGCGCCCTCTACTGGCGTCAGGGGCCAGCGGGTTTCTCGTGTGCTTGTGGCCTTTAGAGCGGCGGTAACCTCGCCGCGGAGCCTGCTGGGAAAGTGAGTACTTGAGCAGGAGCGGCGCCTGAGGGGCCGCTGCCACAGATCAGTGGCAAGATGATGTGTGGGACACCCAGGAGCGACATTTTTAAAGTTTTTAGTGGTAATGGTGCAATGAATAATAATGCCCAGAAAAGAAACACAGGTAATAGACATTTTGTTTTATTGAAAAAAGTAAACATTTCAGTTTAAAATTATAGCCCTAAAAGAAAAAATGGTCAATATTAAAAAATTAAAAAATTTTTTTTTCGAGACAGGCTCTTGCTGTTGTAGCTCAGGCTGGCCTTCAACTCGCGGCGATCCTCCTGCCTCAGCCTCCCAAGTGCTGGGATTACAGACGTGTGCCACCATGCCTGGCAAGTTATATAAATGTATTTTTTGAAAAACAGGGGAAAACATACCCCGTATTTATATGCTAAAATATGATCAATAGAGTCATTGTTTTATAGCTTTAACGTTTGCACATTTGCAGCGATTCTCATAATTGCTTCTTGTTAGGGACTGAATTGTGTGCTCCATCTCCAAAGATATGTTAAATCTTAACCTGTTGTGACCTTAGAAGGTGACTTTAGAAAACAAGCAAGGGACCTTGGAAATAGGTCACTGAAGATAAAATTCGTTAAGAGGAGTTTATACTGAAATAGGGTGGGCATCTAATCAAAATGATTAATAGCTTTTTAAAAAGCGTGTGAAGAGACAAAGACGAACACACAGAATGAAGATAACCAGGTAAGACAGTCCTAGAAATAGAATGCCTTGTGACCATTACAGCAGTTACTGTTTTACAGTTGAAAGTCGATGAAGGAACACCAAAGATTGCTGGGACACACTTGAAGCTAAAATCGTTCCCTAGATCCTTTAGAGAAGACGACACTGTTTCCACATTGGTTTCTTCTAATCTCCAGAGTGATGTGACAATGTGATTCTGATATTTTAAACCTGATATGTTTAAATCTGTGATATGTTGTCATGGCAGTCCTAGGAAATGAGTATGTTCCATTTTTATGTTCACCTGCAGTAGATTTGTCACTCTGTCTTCATTTATAGGTGACCAAAGAAGAAAAAAAGTTTCTTTCATATGAAGCAACATTATACAAATAAGGAAATTTATTTATTTATCTTTAATTTTTTTATTTTTTGGTACCAGGGATTAAACTCAGGTCCTTTTGCTTGTGAAGCAGGCGGCGGAACCACTGAGCTAAATCCCTGGCCCATATAAGGAAATTTATATACATGTGTATATGTTGGTGGGAATTTATACCATCAGAAAAACAGTAAATTTCCTTCCTATCTTCTTTCTTTGGGAACAGTTCCTGCAGCTTTCAGTTTTCTTTGTAACTGGCATTGCAAAATGGAACTTTAAAAGTTAGATTTTTTTTTTCTTTCGAGACAGTGGCTTCTCCAGACTTTCTCAGGCCTATGATATAGAGGGCTGTTCCCGCTTCTCAGCCCAGATGAATATGCAGATGATGGGACCAAGAGATCAAGTCCTGTTTCATTCCCGCAGGCGGGAAGAGGGAGGTCCAGGTCTAGGAAGGGATGGTTCAGCCGGAATATATATATTGGCTCATTGTGTTCCCTTCCCCACTGTGCTTGCTGTAAGAGACTCTAGCACCTGTCCCAGGTGAGATGGTGATTTGAGGTAAATGGGCCCCTCCATCTCCTCAGAGATAGCTTTGAATTAATCCCATTTTCTTTTTACCAAAACAAATGGCTTCCTTTGATCTCGTCAGTGGCAGACAAATGAACCTCAGTACATGAAACTCAGTGGCCCCACTAGAAAATCTTTATTAAGATGTCGTCACCAGAAAGCAATAAATTTCTGTTGGTAAAACCTTGTAAAGGCTTCTTTTGCAAAATGAATGTTGACATTATTTGAACCATTGTTTAAAAAAATATATCATCTTGGTGAAAACAATTGAAATGTCAAAAATTGTCCTTTTGAATTTTTCTGGAAATGTAAAATCATCATCTCTTGTTCCTTCTGGTAGTCTTCAAGATTTGATTCATTTTTATTCATCATTTTCCTTATATTTTGTTATTGTAGTTCCTGGCTTTCTCTGCAATTTCTGTGGGCTGATACTCAAAGGACAGTTTTAAACCTTGATGTTTCCTTGTATCTTATCAACCTTATTTTGGATATTTGCAGATATTGTGTCTGATTATTAAAAAAAACCGTGCAACTGAGATTATGTAAATCTACTGGTTTACAAACAGGGACATATTGTACTCTAAGGGTTGGAGTCATGAAATACACATGAAATAAATTTGAAAGATGACCAACTCTTAATTATTTGTTAATAGTAATATGTATGGCAGAGTTTGTGTAAATGTAGGTCTTCAAAATAACTTCTTTTAGAATGAAGTATTGTTAGGAGGTAATTTCAATTCGATATGCATATACATATTATGATTATTATAATTCAGTAATCATAGCAATAATTTAGACATAGAAATATTTCTTTGCTAAGGTTGTAGTATTACTAACATTGTCTAGAATTATTGTACATATGATAATAGAAAATGAATTGTCTTTTGGTTTTGTTACTACTTTAAAGTTCTTTAAAGATAACTTGCCCATTTATTTTTGTGCCCACGGAAGATGGGTTCTTAGCTGTCAGCTCTCGTTACACATTGATTCTAAGTGTGAACAGAGTCCCCAAGAGACGGTACTCAGAGTGGAACCGAGTATTCCTGGGTGATCCAGGACTCGGAGTAAGTCATGAGAGTCCAGGTTGAGCCCCTAGTGAAGTGTTGTTAGAGACTTTAGTCAGTCTGAGGGCAGTGAGGAAAGTGGTTCCAAGTAGTGTTTTGAGAGGCAGCTGAAGAAGATCCCAGCCTTTAGACAATTTCTGGGGGTCCATATCTTCTGCTGGGATTGGATCTCCTCACACCACTGCACAGAACCTTGAAATGTCTGTATTCTCTTCTATGGAAGCCTCCGTGAAGCAGTGTAACTGGATGGGGGTCCTGTGGGACTTCTTCCTAGGTCCTTGATGTCCTGAACAAAGAACTGGAGTAAGACGTACAGAAAAGATAGCGTTGGTGTACATTAATGGACAGTGGAAGTATGCTCTACAGGGTGAGAGCAGGCCCATGCAGGTGAGAAGGCTCACAGAAGCCCTGAAGTAAAATGAAAGGGCTCTTTAGCATCCAAAATATCTGGATTTACCTCTACCTCATGCAAATAAGGCATTGGACAACTTCCTTAGCAAAAATTCACTTGACCTCTTTGCCAGATGTAAACTGTCCTACCAAAAATGTCTCTTTGGTCTCTTGGTAGATGTAAATGAAGGGTCAGAAACTAAGTCTTTTGATTGATTTTGTCCACATGTAAGTGAAGGACTGAGAACAGCATATTCTGATTGGTCCTGTGAACAAAAAAAGGATTAAAATAGCATTTTTCTGATGTCAGCAATGCTCAGAAGTTGACAACATGACAGAATTTTGGGTCTCATGTTCTGTGCGTATCCCCTTTTTAGGAAACATCTCACTGCACTTATTAGCCATGGGGCTTTATGACCTTGACACATTTCCCCCGGTTGGTTATCCAGCTCTGATCTCTGATGTCAGCAGCTTTCTTGGAGCCATTACAGGGAACCTTGCAAGTGCCTAATCAGAGATTGAGTCATGATGCTTAATAGCATTTCTGATGTCAGCAATGCTCAGAAGTTGACAACATGACAGAATTTTGGGTCTCATGTTCTGTGCATATCCCCTCTTTTTAGGAAACATCTCACTGCACTTATTAGCCATGGGGCTTTATGACCTTGACACGTTTCCCCCAGTTGGTTATCCAGCTCTGATCTCTGATGTCAGCAGCTTTCTTGGAGCCATTACAGGGAAACTCTGATGTCAGCAATGCTCAGAAGTTGACAACATGACAGAATTTTGGGTCTCATGTTCTGTGCATATCCCCTCTTTTTAGGAAACATCTCACTGCACTTATTAGCCATGGGGCTTTATGACCTTGACACGTTTCCCCCAGTTGGTTATCCAGCTCTGATCTCTGATGTCAGCAGCTTTCTTGGAGCCATTACAGGGAAACTTGCAAGTGCCTAATCAGAGATTGAGTCATGATGGTGGGAAGCACTTGCTAATGGACTTCAGGGCAACTTCTGGTTCTGTCCCTGCACTAGAATATTGAACATCTAGTCTTATCACAGGGACTGGCTTTTCTTGCTCTCTGTCTCTCTCTGTCTCTGTCTCTGTCTCTGTCTCTGTCTCTCTGTGTGTGTGTGTGTGTGTGTGTGTGTGTGTGTGTGTGTATGTGTACCTTCCACCCAAGTTGGGGTCCTACCCCTTCCCTGAATCCAGTGTTCTCCAGAAGATTGGACAAACACATGGCCTATCTCTAGTATTGGATGGAACAGTGATCATATTAGGCCCAGTTAAAATAAGCTCTTCCACATTTACTCATTAAGATATTGAGGATAATAACAAATCAGAACATACCCCAAATGAAAAGAAGCAATCATGAGGGAGTTGAATTTTAAAAGTATGCTCCTTATCATATGCAACTAAATTCAGGGTGTTCAGGGCTATACAGGGGTACAGAATTTGGATAGAATCATACCCTTTATGTTTCACTCAAAGTGGTTACTAGCTGTTTTCAACTTGGCTTTTTCCATGTGGTGTTCTTTCCCCTCCCTGCTTTATTTCCTTGTATTATTTTTGCGATGAACTGCTTGTTGCTGAAATTAAAAG